CTTACTTATGTTTGTTTTGAGTGACAGCTGTCGTGTCATCAGCTGGTCTTTTTGGAGCAAATCACTTGATTCGTATTCCATCTGGTCATGCACGTTTATCCTCTGCTCAAATAATCTATTAGCTCCTCCTTTACCTCTTACTTTAATATTACCTTTCCTAAGATTTTCATTTCATATGTATAGTTATCCCTAATAAACTACAATTTTACATGTGTTACATAGGCTGATATTCTCTGTTATAAGTTGCTTTCTTCCTTACTTTTTTTCGATTATCTATTGAAAATATCAACCAACCTTGTTCCCTGTTAAATGTGTCAACTGGTATTAGTGTGGCAAGTTATAAAAATGAAATATTTAAAATTTACCTCTTCTTCCTAACTGCCACATTACACAAAGCCTATCTACCTCTCTTTTCTTATCTCTCGTGAGCTCAAAACCATCAATCAGTTTCAGGTGTACGTTTGGATCCTACCTTTGTTTCATACTCCTTGTTGGTTGTTGCTTAACCTGGGTAAATTTTTATTTTTGTAATTCTTTATTAAATCATAGATTTCTATTATATATATATATATATATATATATATATATATATATATATTAAAGTTGTTCAAAAGATAAACTTTTCAAAATATAATTTCTGGAAAAATTAACAGTCAAAAAAATAGCTTGGAATGTACCATATGTTTGGAGAAATTATTTATATTTGATAAAAGATAAAACTGATGTGTGTAAATCTATATACTTGTTTTTATGCGAAGTGATAGATACACACAAAACTTTAAAGTACATAATTCTGACGTGTCACTTTATATTTCAGATTTTTAATTTAATTTACCATTTGTGAGAATTAATGTTGTGTATCTTTATCCATAAGACTTGAACTATTATTTGGAAAAGTAACTTAATTTGTATCTCAAGTTGTTTTGTATCAGATTTTTTTTTTTCTTAATCATAGAGCTGGTACTGACATATAGACGCTGAAAAGTTCTTCAGCCAACCAAGAAGGGAAATCCAAACATTTTTAGAAGCGAGCTGGTCCAAAAGCTTTTCAGCACCCCCTGTATTATATATGATTACAGCATCCATGTTAATAAATCTGCATTTATTTGGAACATAGTTTTTTCACATCAAGGTCTTGTATTTGTTTTTTTTTTCTCTATACTCTACCTTAGCTTTATCATTCCAAGTTCTGCATTTTAAAAATCCCAACTGTAATCTCTTTATATTTTAGAGAAAGGATTTTTTTATACTTAATCAATTTTATTAAGGCCTGCTTGTTTTATTTATGTTTTAATATTCTTTTTCTTAAAACTCTGTTTATGACTACTGTGTAAATTTTTCCATTCTGTGGTCATGAATATTACATGAGCTTTTATTCTTGATAAATTAAAGATGAAGCACTTTCTTTTTTTTTGCTGAGGGTTACTATTTAGTCAGACAGGATGTGTGTTTAGTGTAATAGATATTGTAACAGAAAGTAGAAAATATAGAAAACCAATGCTAAATCCCAGGTTAGTCTGTTGAGTTCAACTGAATGCCCTTGGGAATGACATGAATCCATCTCTTTTATCCCCATCTAGAGATTAAATAGTAGAGTTCTCTAGCCTTTGATGGCAAGCAGTATAAGAAAGATCTTTGAATTCCAAACTGTGATTCCTGAGAATGCATGGCAATTTACAGGTAAAAAAAAGGAATCTGTGGAGAGTCATGATTACTTACATCCTTAAAGAATGTAACAATAAAAAAATAGCCAATGTCAGGAAAAAGGGTACATTCTTTCAGTCATTTCATTTTGTGTTGTATTTGGTATTTCTCTTATTCTTTCATAAACAAAATTGTAAATTCTTCAAGTCTTATCACATTCAAAAAGTGGTAAAACTTGCCTAAGAGAAACATATGTGATCTTTTGAATATGCACATGTGTGAATCTTACATCCAAATTGGGTGCACAATAGATATTTCTTTTAGATATTTTCAGTAGATTTTGTTACTTTTTTAAATGATATTGTAATCTTACTGAGTAAGCTATTTTTTGCTTTTTCTATGTTCTTCACTGTATATAGGCTGCTATGAAATATACTTTCTTAGTAACTTCTCTATCTTGCTATCTTTCAACATTAGTGATGCTTTGAGCTTGTTCACATAACTCTAAAATTGAAATTAAAAATTCTGTATACTATTTTATCCAATGCATAAACTCTGCCCATTCTTTGTTATTTGACTATGGGAAACATGACTGGTTATTCCCAGGAAAATGTTTCTGTTTGATATATCCCGGAAAGGGATATATTTGTTTGAAGTAGCAAAGTGGTTTTGGACTACTGTAACCAAGTAGGACAATCTAGCAGGTAACCGTAATGGACTGGTCCTCGTCGTAGTGGTAGGCAATAGGCGAAGACTATAGGCACAGCCAATAGGCGTCCTCCACATCAGTCTGTATTTATGGCTGACAATCATATTACTGTGAGGGGGAATCCAGGTGTATACATATTCCTTACATCACTGTTAATGCAGCATATTTTTTTGTATGACACAAAAATGCTTGTGACAAATATTTTACTACTTGGCACATGAAGATTTGCTTCAGATTTCCTGAAATCCTTTATGAAATCCCTAAAGTTATGAGTTAATATACCCACATAAGTTGATTTACTAACCTATACAGTGTAATTGGAGAAAAATGTATAACAAAGTGAAAAAGTTTTCTTGTGACTTATTTCATCGTTTAGAATTTCATTGGACTAAATTTGTTATGTTGGTGCAACTACACATGTGCACGAACGAGGGATACTGGGAATTTTAAATTTAAAATATTTTTTTTTATCTTGCCAATTTCATTTACCGTATATATTCACATATCATACAACTTTTGAAGACCTAATTTTGAAGCTAATTTGACTACAGTAAATAGATATATGGTTTGGTCAATGGTGTAGCCAGGGCCAGCAGTAGATACCCTAATTTTTATATCTTGTGTATGATGTGACCCCTTTAAAATTAGTATCATATGCGAGTATATATGGTAGATTTTTTTTCTTTCCATCTACTTTTGTTAGTAGATATCCCACACTATCAAAAATATTATAAGCCTTATAAATCCCAGTAGATAAGTCCTGCTTCTATTCCCATTACAAATTTTTTTTTTTTAAATTTCTTATTGCATTCATACCACTTATTTCCTGCTGCTTTCGTAATGTAGAAGCCATTTCTGTTGTTTTTTTCGCCATCACTTTTTTTTTAATTTAAAAACAAACCCTTTACTATCTTTCTCTCTTCTGTATGATGCTGTTATATCACTATTTTACCATAATATCTTCCCACTCTGACTGCTTAAAACTGTCAGGAAAACTTGAATGGAACAGCTCATCTCTTTAGTGTAATTTAAAGCTCAGTGTTAAACTATAAACTGCTTCCATTCTCTTCATCCTTTTTCTGCTGTTGATTGAAATACGATAGCATATGACCTATTGCATGCAATCATCCAATTCAGTTTCTACAACTTCTAAAATTTCTGTGTGTATCATTTACAATAGAATCAGCTGTTTTTCTTTTGATTTTTTTTTCTCTGACACTAATTGATATTTAGACATTCAACCAAAGAAAGCTATTCAAATGAAATGCAAATATTTTTGAAACTTTATACCTTTTCTCAGATGCTTTAGATTATCTTTCCTTCAAGGTTGTGAATTTTTGGAATTTTATTGCTGCATGCTTCTTTTTTCCTGTTTTAGTTCTGCCACTTTTTTTTAAAAAGCTTTTTTCTTTTATATTATTTCAATTATTTTTATATTTGTTATTGTCATAATGTTCCTTTCAAAAGAATATTCCACTTAAATGTACTCATCTGTCTTTGTTCATTCAGTGTTATCTCTGGAATCTTTTGCTTGTTTCCAATGAAGCTTAATGTCTTATCATTTCCTACTAGACTATAGCCTATAAATTTACTGTATTTGGCGGCATATAAGATGCACGGGTGTATAAGACATAACCCAGTTTCAGCAATTTAGTAATTAGTAAAATTAGTAATAAATGCTAGGCTATATTTATGAGGTATTATTTTGGTTAAACAAGCCATGATTACAAGTAAATGAAAAATAATGAGAAAAAAGAACACAAGCCTATAAAAACTTTATTATATCCAAAGGTAAGAAAACAAAATAAAAATCAAGCAATTACCATTAAAATTCAGTGAAAAATTTTCCTTTATATAATCTGTACAACCCGTGTCTTGTAAACATCTTAGTGTAATAATTAGGATATAAAAATTCTTATTCTATTTATACCAATGTAACTGGGAGTTATCACAAGAAAAATATTAATGAAACAAATATATTTTACAAATATTTGAATTTATTGCATATAATTTTAGTGAAACAAAGTACTAATATTAAACGTAAGGAAATTAATATAATGAATATTATCAATGATAACACTTTTAATCTGCTTAATAGCCTTTTAAATAATGACAATAGGTATACGAAAGTTACTCTAAAGTCTAAGATAATAGGAGTTGCCAGGTAGCTAATTTTGGCAGACTATCGCAAATTTTAAACCTACATATGGCATATAAGATGCAGGGGAATTTTAAAAGATATTTTTTATAAAAAAAAGTGTGTCTTATATGCCATCAAATATGGTAATTTCTTCAGACAGAATCATTTATACAGGGTGAAGTCGAAATACCTCCCAGATACTAAGACATTAGCTAAATGAAAACAATACCACAAATTTCTTACCATTATATGGAAAGTATTTCTAAGAGGTATATGTTTTTCATGGGTTTGTTTTCTATGGCTTATCAACAATTTGCAGGTTATTTAAAGCCAGAAAATTTTTTTTTATATTGTCAGAATTTTTAGCTGTGGGAAGAATAGGTGGATTTATACTTTTCCCAAGGTTATTTGCATGTAAGTAAATATAACAAACCCAACTGGAATTGGAACTTGGCTCTCCGATTTCAATTCCAAGTCATTATCCATTACACCACCCATGCATCCAAGCTTACAGCACTTGGTATTCCCAAGCAGTCACCCATCTAGGTACTGACTAGGCTTGATGTTGCTTAACTTTGGCGATTGTATCGGAATTGGTCTTTCAACATGATATGGCCATAAGCCTAGTAGGTATATATGGGAGGTATTTCTGCCACACCCTAGGTATGTGCAAAACTTCCCAGCTAATTCTTTTTAAAAAAACTACAATCAGAATACACATTTTTTAATAACCATTGAAAACATTTTTATACAGCTAATAATTTTAATTCATTTAACACACAAAATCTTAAACATTTTGAACTGGAGAATAAGTTGTTAGTGAAACAGTAAAAATATTTTATTAATATTCCAATTCATTCATAAAATATTGTCAATATCTCTAAAAAGTATGTTTTTCTGTTTTTTTACTTATTTTTTCTTCATTTACGAACCACTACTTGGCATTGAAGATCAAGTAAACTTGTTATAAATGTGCATGTATGTGAATGCTTTTAAACTTAGCTGTGTGCTAAGACCTTGAGTGGTGCTGGGAATGCATTTTTAGTATGAAAAGAAATAACCAATAGTGGCTGATCCATATCTCCTTTATTTAGCTGATCCAATGCTCTTATCTCCATACCTAACAGCTCCATTCTAAGACAGTTAATGCTTCCTTTCTCTTGAAGTGTATATCATGATTAATGCTATTGTTTAGTGTGAAATCTATTTGTTTGCTGGATATTGCAAGAGGATTTTTATTATTATGTGATTTTATTATTAATGTATATGAAAAAATATTTTTCCATACATATAAATATTCATCTTTCAGACTGATTTTTATATAATGTGTGAATCTGCTGGTATATATGCCTGTGTTACTATTTTTTCACAATAACATCATGTTTATACAAAGTTATATTCTTTTTCTACAATTGTATTATTGAAAACATTGTTTATTCAATTTTCTTTGTGGAACTTTTTCTTAATATGCTATAATTTTTTTTTTCCATATATAAAAATTATTAATTTATTGATATTTCTTTTTTTTTCTTTCAGGTAAGTCAGTTTATATGAAAACAATATATACTGATGGTGAGTTTTTAAAATATTTTTTCCCTGGTTCTTCTTCTATGTGCCATGTTTCTTCAGGACATTGCCAATTCTGGCTCTCCACAATTTCCTATCCTTTGTAGTTCTTAATAAATTTTGTCTTTTTTTTATCTCTCCTAAACTTTGTTCTGCCATTGATTTACTCAAGCTCGCTTGGCCTTGTTTTCTTCTGTCTCTCTTGCTATCAATCTGTCCTTTGAGTATCAAATTTTCCAATATCTCTTTCCTCATTATGTATCCTAGAAATTTAAATTCTTTCTTACTGCTAAGTATAAGTGTCCTTTTTGCTTCCATTTTCTCTAAAACTTTGTTGTTGCTCACATGTTCAGTCCATGATATTCTCAACATCCTTCTGTAGAACCACATTTCTGTTGCTTCAATTTTTTTTCTTTATCTGTGAGGAGATTGTCTAGCATTCACTGCCATATAGTGGGATTGATATTACATAACATTTCATTACTCTTTTCTTTATTTCTAACAAAACTTTTCTGTTTCTTAATACTTTGCTCAGCTTTTGGAAGGCATCTTTCATTATCCCAATGCAGCTCTGGATTTCAGTGTAACACTTTTCATTCTCCGTTAAAACACTACCTAAATATTTAAATTGTTGTACTTATTATATTTCAATATCTCTAATTTGTAATTTGTTTGTTGGACTGTTCCTTTGTTAAAAACAATGCATTCTGTCTTCTTACAATTGATGCTTAGTCCTTTCTTCTCACTTTCCTTTACTACATTCTGTAGGAGTTCTTGTAGTTTCCTTTCTCTGTCTGCTATCAACACTATGTTATCTGCATATTTTATGTTGTTAAGATTGTGGCTGCCAGTAATATGTTCTCATAGGACTTCTAATTCTCCCAGAATCGCCTCACTGTATAGATTGAATAAGTTACATCCTTACACCCCTTTTTATTTTTGTAGATTTACTGAACTCATTTCCTGTCTATATGCAAACCAGTATAACATTTAATTTTATTTTTAAAATTAATTCAAGAGAAATTTATAATGCCTATGTAGCTATAATTAAAGCCACTAGTATAAATGCTGATCAGCATGTACTTTTTATTAGTGTTTTTTTTTTTCTTTTTTTTTTTTTTTTTCAGAAAGAAGCTGACCAACTGATTTGGTCATGAATGTTTTATGTTACAACCCTTCAACTTGGCTCTTATGTATACTTTTATAAGTTCAGTAAAGATCACTGCTTTGTAAGACATATATTCAGATACATTCCACTCTTTCCTGAGCAAATCATTTGTATTGCCTTGCTCTAAAATGTTTGGGCTTACTTTTATGCAACTAAAAGCTTGAGGAATAAGTGCATGTTATGGCAGAAATACATGTGATGAGATGAATGAACTTATAACAACCAACTTACTCTCTACAAAATATGAATTCCAGAAAAACTTTGATTTTCATTCTCAGACTTTTCAGCTCATACAAAACTTATGTATTGTAGTAGTTCATTTCATAGATTTTGTCGTTCATCAAAGGCCAACATTCAGTTGTTTTCATGCAATGAAAAGTTCATTTGTGATATTTTATTACTTTTTATGCATTTCTATGTCCTAATGATTGTCTTTGATAAAGTATGAGAGAAAATGAAATTGATTTTACAAATGTACACAAACTGTATGAATTTTCAACAGTTCTAATAGCATTCTTACTAACAGTCTTGATAACATTTCACAAAAGAGGGGGCCTGAATACTTTGGCCTCCTTTTTTGTGGAATGTTATCCAGTTGTATCATTTTATAATCATACAATTTTAAATGTTAAACTTAAATTATGTTTTCTATGACATGAAAAGACCAGTAATGTCACCAAAATTTATTTATAAAAAAATGATACCACTTATAAATTTATAATATTCTGACATTGCCACTGTTGAAAATGAACTGTACAGTTTATATCTGAAATGTTACAATCATTGACTTATAAAAAAATTAGAACTTGGCATTGTTTTGTTTATAGAATAAGGTTCCACTAGAGTTAATTCGTTTGGCATTTATCCATAGCTATTTATGCATTATAAATAGGGAAAATTGTGATTAAAAATGTATACTGTACGAAGATGATTTCTTAGTTACATTAGTAAAATAGTCATTGAACCCTTTTGAAAATGTTTGTACTGACACTGACTAAAATCATAGTATAAAACTTCACTTTAATTAAAATGTTTCATCAATAAGTTATGGAAAGTTGGAATGGTTTAAAATTTTTCAAAATAACAAAGGAATCTTAGATTATGCTTATACAATAAAGTATAAACATTATTGAACATCTCTATAAAAAATGCAGATATCATTGTGTTGCACTTTTTTAACTTTACTCCTAGATATATTGTACCATTCTGGAACCTGGCCGATCCCCGTGAGCAAATTAAAAATATTCCAGTCTGGATCTGGACGTGCAATCCTGAAATTTTGGATTCCAAAGTTTTCATTACTGCGATTGTTTTCGGATCTCACCAACTTGGTTTCTACCAATTAAAACAATTAAAGGGACATAGCTCCCTAACTTTCAATAGCTCATGTTCAAATATAAAAATTAATGTTCTCAAATTACAGTGTTTCAAAAAAAAATTGTCCATGTTTTCAATTTCTCTCTTAGAGGCTGTAGCCCAACATATCATACCATTTTGGAATCAGGCTGACTCCATGAGCAAATTAAAAATTATTCCAAGCCAGATCCGGACCCACATTCCTGAAATTTTAGATTCCCAAGTTTTCATTATTGTGATTATTTTCGGCACCTTTTTTTTTCTTTTTTTTTTTTTAACGTGATATTTTGGTGACAGATTTTTTTGTATCATAACAATTTTTATAACTTGGAAATAAATTTGAGAATAATCAAAATTAATTGCGAAATCCAGCGAAAGTCCCCCATGAAATAAAAATAATTGTTTTTACACAAAGTAAGGACCTATGTACATCAAATTGTCTTTAAAGAAGACAGAACAATTATCATTGAACTTTTGAAAGGTAACTTTAAGTACTAATGCAATACTTAAATGCAGCAATCAATTTTGATTTCCTTTGTAATTTATTGTTGCCTATCATATCTATTCCTCCCAACTTATTGTAATGATGGCCCAAACAAGAGCCCTCCACAGGCTGATAGGGTGGCTTTTAAGTTAATATATACATATATTTTGAAAAACTAACAACATTTTTTCTTTTGTTTATAAATACTTGTTGCAAAATAAAATCCTTACTTTTGCCTTCATAAAGTTCATCAGAAAACAAAATGTATTGGCTCAGATAAGTTTTCCTTGTCTTTATTGATATTTATAAATAAATAAAATAAAGATGTGTATGTAATATAGTGGATATCACTATGGAATGTGGGATAAGTTTGCTGAGTTCAAATCTGTCCAATGTTATTGCTTTTACTTTCATGGAAATACCCTTGTAATGAATCTGTTTCTACTAAATGCTATAGGTTAAATAACAAGGCAGATTGGATCCATAACCTTGGTTGAAAACCAGTCTAGGAAAAGGAAATCTGTGGAGAGCTGTTTGGAGCCCTCAGGGTGCATTTTCCATGGATTCTGTTATTAGTTCTTCTGAAAAGTGGTTAGTTTTACACAGGCCTTCACCACTATCATATACTTGTGTTGCCTGACTAACTCACCATTTAGACTATCATGTCAAAATCAATGGGAGAGGAGACACATAGGCATACCTGTGTTGATGCTTTCCTGAGTACTTCAATTCTTAAGTCAAAGGTCGAACATTATCTATCCTCTATATCCACACAATTTTCACTTCCCACAATTCCATTCATACACTCATACATTTCTTTCAGTAACCTTGAATGACACAATGAGACTTGAGCCTTGTATTGAGTGAACATTAGTAATATATATATATGGTGGGATGGATAAATTGTCGTCTAAATTATGCAAAAATGAGAATGATACTGACACTTCATTTTAACAGATATATTTAGCAAAATAAGATAAAAATATCTTGAAATGCTAAAAAGTAAATGTATTCAATAAAATCGCCATTGGCTTCAACAATGGCCAC